AGTATTTCTGCGCAGCCTAGGGAGGATGATTGGGAAAATTTTTGGGGGAGCATGGTCATATTGATGTTTTGGGCGTTTTGGGTGGGAAGATAGTTAGAGGAGCATGGCGTGATGATGCTTTAGGAGTTTTGGGTGTGAAGGTATCGAGTGGCGATAGTATTACAATGACGTTTGGGAGGATTGGTGTATAGGGGCGTGGATTGTGCGGTTTGGGGTGGAGTGGATATGGACCACGTGGTTGGGATTGGCGGTTGCCGTGTATTCATATGATACATCAATCTCCAGATTTCTCCTTAATAATCAAAGTCTTGTCATCATATGATATGTGAGTGGTGAATATGATTCATGTGTTCATACAAGAACATGACGCATTTAAGAAGGTTTGATCCAGATATAACTGACCGTTCGACTAGTTCTTGAGCAAAGATTTGAGCGGTCGCAAATGCTCACGCTTGCACCGAGAATATGAGTGATAATTGCATTGTTGACGCATGATTTGGAGTCTGTCTTACCTGGATTTGTGCATAATACTTCCCTATTCCCCGAGTCCTAAATTTATTTCTACATCGAAAACATCAAAGTCAAGTTCTCATTAAACAACGAATCTCTGTCAAAATCTTCTGGCTTTTCTACATTACCAACGATACCTGCATCATCAATAAAGATAAACCAACCTCTCCCTTTCTCATATGTGTTCCTAAAGACTCTTGCCATTTTATATAATAGTCTCCTAACATCAAGCAGGCATCACCAATACTTCCATCATCAGCCCATCTGCCAGCAAATCAGTCATCATGTGCATAGAAATCACAACCAAATACAAAACATGCAAACATGTAGAATACTTCTACAACGAGTGCTATTATGCAAAAAGAAAATTGCCGCCTGCAAAGGACCCACAGAAACCAACGTGGAAAGCAAGGGAATCTGTGGTAAATGCAGAATGAACGAGAGAGCCGATTGGCAATACAGAAACCCGATAGATGAACCTCAGTTGCATGCTGCTTCGGTCAGAACTGCAGAATGGCAGGAGAGAATTGCTGCTGCAGATCAAGAGTTAGAAACGATTCCCGAGCCTACTTCGAACGAGATTGAAGGAAGTGCTGCTGCAGGACAAGAGTCAGAAACGATTCCCGAGCCTAGTCCGAATGAGATTGAAGGCATTGCAGCAGCAGAACAAAAATTAGAAACGATTCCCGAGCCAACTTTGAACGAGATTGAAGGAGTTGAGGAAAGGAAGAGGCAAGGTCTTGAAGCCTCGGGCAGGGGTAATTGGAGATCTCGGAACATAGCGCGATTGCTTTGCTCGAGGGTTGGTGATTAAGAGCGTGGCTTTTGACGATGATATGAGTGGGCGTGGATAGTTTGGTTGAAATTGGGTTGGGGGTTTTCGTATGTTCATACAATGCAACAACTATTTTGCTCTTGGACCAAGAGTAAACCAGCCTTGACGGCTAGAGTGCGATTGTATAGGATATGAACAGAAAATAGATATTCGCATTTTTATACAGGAATTTAGCACGCCGGACAATTTTCAACTTTTGCTGTGCTATCATCATTCTTCTGTGGATTAAAAGTAGTGACAGTAGCTTTCCGTGCCCTAGTACAGCAGAAATATCTAGCAGGATTTGTTGATATCCTATCCCTCTGGGAAAGTATAATCATGCCGATTGTTGCGGTGGTGCTGTAGTGAATTGGTCTTGACCCAATGTGTTGATACTGAATCATGATTTATCCTAGTGGGACTACAGATTGATTCAACATCAAAGTGATATATCGGTAGGTGATTTGTATGTGATGTTTATATTTTCCAGTGCAATGATAATAACTCTGATATATGGATGACAAGTGCCGCTTATGTAATATGTGAATCTTGAGTACTATTCATATTTTCCAGCAATGTTATAAACAATGGCATAGCTAGTGTCAAAATATATTTGGACAGCTTCAGTACATCACCTTGAAGCTAGGAAATACACTTGGTGCAGATATGATGACTGTTTGATTCATCCTTGAGCAATGATTTTATAATCGCAATTTCAATCACGTATGTATGCCCATATAAAACATTCGCTTTGGAAAAGTACTCAACCTCGAGTAAGTGCAAGTGCGGAGGAACCAAAGAAATCACAAAAAAAATTCAAGGAAAGCGTTGCTTGTATCCAGAAACCTCGAGATTCTATACTGAGGTTAAAGAATTTATATATATTGATTCAATTTTTAACGTAGATATGTCTTAAATTTCCAACTCTTGGGTTCATTAAACTAACACACTGATGCATTGAGACTTCGGAATGCTATAATGAAATGAGTATAAAATGTGCAACATAATTGTGGATTTACTCGAGTACTCGTAGTTGTCTAGGCAAATGACAATAATTTTGTTAGAACACGTACTACTGTACCCTGTACCACGTGCCGTACCCTAGCATGGTGTCCTCGCTAGTACTGACGCTAGCCTTAGCGCATACACTAGCTAGCTTATCAATACAACTGTAATGTAGAGTACATACAACAATACTACATAGTTACACTTCCAACAAATTTAACCGAAGGGGTAATTCTGATATGAGACAACACCAAAGAATCAGGACTATGGTCACTGGTAAATGATTCTGCTTTGTTTACAGTTTTAGCTCGAAAATGTTTCTTCAACTACTTCGAGCAGGACCAGGACTAGGACCTTCAGGACTAGGACCTTCCGGAAGGGCACAGAATGTTGCTAGACCCACATTAAGTAGAATATAATTGTTTACTATTTATTGTAAGAGCATTATTATGTGTAGTTCTCTCTTCTGTAGATCGATAATCTCCATTGCAAATAACATGAATTTATCGGAAATACTCGAAAATGCCGGTAATCAATACCTTCTTCGATTGTAAAGTGGTTGAAAATATCCCAGACAAGATGAGAAATGGAATTTGTGCTCATAGAGTATTGAAAGCTGTATATCTGATTGTTTCCAATCCGAGACACATGGTCTTTGGATCCAAGAACGAGATTACAAAGGAATCAATCAAGTCGATGTGGGAGACCCAGCGATCTGATGGAGCTCTTCCATCAAGCACCGATGAAGCCAATTTCGAGGACAAATTATACTCTGTGTACCAAACAAATTGTCTGCAGGCTTCGAGCTCAGATGGCAGAGAGGTATTTTAACTGTGGATGTCTCTATGACCAACCATTCCTAATGCCACATGGAGACTCAACCGCAATCCTAGCCCCCTTCAGCAAGGAACTTTCGTCGATGTTCGCCTTGTCAGAGATGTTGCAGAAAGTGATGAGATTACCATATCGTACTGTGCCCTTGATGAATCGCTTGTTCACCGTCAGCATTTCTTGAACGAGAGCTATGGCTTGTACTGTCGTTGTTAAGCTTGTGTCTACGGCTCGCCCTTCTACCAAGCCATTAATATGAGCCGACGCATGATCAGAGCTATTGGAGAAGACATCAAATACACAGATCGGCGCAACACCCAACACGGAGAGCATGTTCTGAAAGGAATGGTTGCTTTATGGACTAGCACGGTAGAACAGGAGTGGGCTTTACCTTTTTTATGGGAGGTATGATGTTACACCACAGCCGAAGCAACAGCACGAATCAATGGATACTATATGCTGTCCCTGGATTTTTATGGAAAATTTGCGGATATTGTTGCAATTTCAAAGGAATCAGGTTGTGATTAGAGAGTTGACTTGCTCGTATTGAATGCTTTAGGAAGGATGAGCGCATTCTCCGATCTAAACATATAGATTGGACCTCTACGCAAGAAAACTTTCAAGAGCGCCCGAATGATAACATTTTCCATCACACCACCATGCCACTATACCACCATACCACCAAACACTGCACATGCCATCATACAAACATTGCATCTCAACGATGCCAAAAGAATAACATTTTTCCTCGTATCATCGGACGATCATGCGAATTCTGTATCTCTGAACGTTCTTCAGAAGGCCTAGTATCCTAATACTATTTTCCCCGACAAACTCCATCATAGCCGCTGGTAGTCTTCGAGAGTAAATCTACCAAGGATAAAATCATTCGTTCTTTGGTAATCCGGATGAGATATTCCTATTACAAAGCGGTGAGTCAGTGATTGCCTGTCAAAGAAAGTGTCTAGAGGGAATTGAGCATTCGAAACAGCATTAATAAATCAAAAGGATGTGTTTGAGAATCAGGAAATTTGAGGAGGTTGGAGGTGGGATAGAAAAGCAGAATCGGACATAGAAGGAGTGTGAAAATGTAATCTAATTACAAACCTGCTTGCATATCGATTATATTAAGTAAATATCTCGCCATAAGGATATTGCAGTCGAACTTAGCTTCGCGAGCTTTTCGTTCAGCTTTCGAGAAGATATCCCTCAAGTAAGGATCAAGTCCCATACCCAAGCCTCTTTCATTTATCTCGCGGGCCTCCTCGCACAATTGGGCCTCTCCATCTGCCATATACTTCCAGTTCTTATTTTGGAAGCTTATCACTGTGTCAAAGAAATCTCTTCTTCTAGAGTCGACTGTTGGTCTTTGAATGCCGTTGACTATGGTTTGAATTTCGAACAGACAGGCAGAACAGCTGTGATTTTCAATACCATACATTCGACTCATAAATGATCGACGTTCCAGTACTGGCAGAGTCATGGGGCAATAGCAAAGGCATATTTTCTCGTCCGTACCGAGATCCTTAGTAAGACGGATCTCCAGCAAGTCGGACTCAATAACGCAGATAGCGTTTGGAATACAGCCATGATCAAAAGGTAACCCATGAGTAGGCAGAATGGATCCTTCGCTTCCGCATCCAGCAAGCGCTGGGAACACGATTTGATTCTGTTGATAGGTTGTAAGATAATCCATACTCATGTTCCCTGCTTGAGTTAAACGAAGGAAGGATTCTTTTGAATCATCATCCAAATCGTTGAAACGGGTCAAGACTGTGTACTGTGTGGCGACGTGAAGGAATAGCATCAATATGGTGTCTCTATAAACGACACTACCAGCAGTACGAAGATGTCCAGCCGAATGCTGTATATTTTGTCTCTCACCAACAATATCGGTGCCATTTTGCACATCTGGATGAGAAGCTCCAAAAGACATCATCTTGGGTGAGGATTGGCCGTTATAATTCCAAATTGATGATGTGAGCAAGATTAAAAAACGAATAGTCTTGGAATTTGCTAACCCCAGGAAAAATGTAGGCACATACCAGATGTAAAGAAACATCCTAGATGTGCTATATAAACAAGTTTTAGCCTCGACGCTTGATGATTTTGACTTTTCACGCCGTACATAGTCGAATTGAATCCAAACTTAATTTCTAGCTTTTCTTCTTGAAACTAGGGCCGTTTTGAGTTTCGTGATTACTTCTTTTGACGTTTGAAATCATGTCCATCGTACAAAGTACTTGAAGAGAAACTCTTTTGAGAAATCTTAAAAGGCCCTTGTGCTGGATTTTCTGTCAGTACTAATTTATACTTCAATCTAGCAAGTTTTAGTACACAGCTTGGTTGGATTTGAAAGCCCGCTAACTACAATATATTTTAATCAGTCATACACTGGTGCTTAATCACAACTGGTGCAAGACCCTGAATTCATACTTGTGAATTACAGGCTTTCTATGGCCGATGTAACTAGTTCTGATATCTAAAAGCTTGATGGTTGCAAAGCCGATCCAGATGCAGTTTCCTTCTCAGCTTACTTGACAGGAAAAAAAAATCTTGATCAGTCATCAATAGTAGGAAGGAAGGAAAGAGAATTTTATGTCAAGGAGAGGAAGGAATGGTTCAAATTGCTATCAGTAGCAATGATTGATATTCGAGCTGCCATTTCGGCATGGAGAGAGATTCTTGATCTCTGAATCTATTGGGATAAATCACTATCTTAATACAACCACATTTTTCGGAACATCGAAAAGTTCTAAATTGGACCCCGATCCAGACGATTGAATATTTGAACTTCATCATTCATCTGCAAGGCTTTACACCACTCTTCCCTGATTAACCCATTGTATCTGTGAGCTAACATATGGAGTTAGGAAGGAAGATTCGCCATCAACTATAATAAGTAGGAAGAAGTCAAAAAGAGGAAAGAATAGGTAGATTCCATTGGGAAATCTCGAATGTCAAGCTCACTAAACTCACTAGCTCAATCTGTAGAACAATGTTGACGGTCAGATTAGCGCTTCATTAGACTAGACACATGGAGTAGGTAGACCGTCATGTCAAAATCATGAGATTAGCATCATTACAGTGATGAGCCTTGAAGATATATCTGAGTACCTTCCCGTTAGAATTTCCGTAGTGTCACCTACCACATATTTGTAATGTGCACTACCCGGATAGATCATCATTTCATATCATACGCCATACGCACATAATAATATCACAATGATATTGCCGCCATCCATGTTGACACACTTGGAAATATTTTTACTTCTTTCCCAGATAACAAACATTATAGTTACCTTAGCCTGCAAGTCCTGGCCAGTATGTTGGATCTACTGAAATCATCGACCTATACTCAAGGATCGATGGGATTTCAGAACTTAGGAGCCATTGGAATACACTAGTTCCCCTGGATCCAGGGCTTTGTATAGGCAAATTTGAAGCCATACAGGCACCTCATACAAGTTTTTTTTTGTAATCGAGTATCATACAAACTAAATTCATTATACTAACCACCGGGATTCCTGGGAGAATGGAAGGAAATCGATTTCGATTTCAGGTTTTGATTTGAAAACTCAATACATCATCTCAATGCACCTTTTAGGGCCACGATTTCTTGTATACAATGAAAAGCTTGTTATGAGATGCCTGTAGAGAAGGCTCCAGCTTGCTTGAATCGCCTCAACTCGACTATTACGACTCTCGACATTCCATTTATATGGCATTTCAAGATGCTCCCAAAGAGCTTCATTTGAAAGCCCAATAGTATAACCCACAAACATCTTACAAGTCAGATCACAGAACAACAATAACCTCAGCGTCGCTATTTAAGTCATTATAATGGTTTAAGCTCATACTTGAACTCTCTTACAATCTCAGCTCCAAGATCGAGTAAATGGCTCAAGGATTGTCGACTTGTCACGATATATCGACTGAGCCATGCAACCTCCATCGTCTCTAGACCGAGAACCTTATCTCCTTTACACTTAGGGGACCAAGAAACCGCAACATTATCTCTGTTCATCAATTGAGGGTATCTTTCTAGCATTTCCTTTCCCGGATCCTTCGTGAGTAATACTCCACTACGATCTGATGAGACGTATTGAACCATGCTGTAATATTGAGCACTGTTCTTGAAAGGCTTAGCCATAGCCTTGAATCTATCGACCTCCTCCCACAGTTTTCTTCACCCATTTTGCACGCTTCAAATATGCTTTATTACCAACGAGAGCACTGTCTACTTCTCCTCCAAGTCCTTCAGTGAGGCAGAGATTAATCGAGTCTGGGAGAGCACAATACTCATGAAGAGTACCGGCGACAGATGCGACGGCCTCCCAAAGCCTGGCGCCATCCAAATGAACCACGATATCGTTGGATCTAGCCCAATGACATATGCGTTTAACTTCGCTCAGTGGCATCACAATGCCACCTAGTGGAACCTCTAAGTGAATGAGTTTTATTGGACAGGTGCAAAAATCAGTTCCATCTGAAATGACAGCATAGCGCTGTAAATATTTCAGAGTCAACCAAAGACCATTGGAGGAAGCTATTGTCACCATCAGTGCCCCTGACCAGCTACCCGCCCCACCAGTTTCCATGTGAACTAGATGGCTACGCACATCACATAGAATGGAATGCGGTGGAGTTCCTAGATGAGTCCTCAAAGCAACTTGGTTTCCCATAATGCTAAAAACCATGAACAGAGTGGCATCCCTACCCGTCAGTCTGCCCATTTCTGCTTCAAATCCAGAAGCACCACTAGCGTTCCACCCATCGTTCACTCCCGCTTGAATATTAGCCTAAGCATCACAGAGCTTAATACAGTACATACATCACCTTTATTAAGGCCGTGGTTAGTAAAAGTCCACAATAATGTCCATCAGATAGGCTCATACTCACTCCGAAAATCATAGGTGGCTGGGCCTGGTGACTGCCACGCAGCGCCCATTGCTAAGGACTCAACAGTTTGAGCCCCAGGGAAGGCTAGGGAAATTGATGCTTTCTGCGTGGCATTTCGAGTTTCAGTAATAGTCTGCAACGTGACAAACAAAAAGTAGTGTTTTTCCTGTTGTGGGCTCGTTGAGAATACCGCAAAATTCAATGAGCCGTTTCTGTGTAACAAAAGGTTGACGATGGCACATATAGTTATAAGAATATCGTAGTCAAAGAAGTTGACAGATTTTCGTTCGTCTCAATATCAAGCATGAGACAACTCCAAACTTCTTTCGCCACTAGATATTTCATCATCCTTGCCAAGTCTCTTTTGTTTTAAATAGGCGCCGCTATCTGCTATGGAGTGAATGACGTGATAGACAAGGTCTGCAAATATACTGATATGCAAGGAAGGACACTGTTGCCATGCAACTTTCGTTCCTAAACTATCAGGCTATTTTAATATATGCGGTCAGACTCTGGCTTGAAGCATGTCCATATACAACCTCTGAATGTAATATTCATAAGCCATTGGAAGACATGTATAGCACGATACTCGTAGTCTAGTCAAGTCTTCGAGATGCCAGTCCCAAAAGGCATGCTCGTTAGACAGAGTACGGACCTGCCTTAGCTGAGAGTGCCCAAGTACTTCATATTAAGTTTGACTAGAGGCGAAGGATTGAATGCCTATTGCAGTCAGACTCTAGACTTGAAGCAGTTTTGAATTTGATCCCCGGATGTATTGTTACATTTCATTGAAGAGCAAGCATTGGATAGCACGTATATCCTGTCAAGACTTCCGAAGACCGGAGACTATTCGATCTCGAACATAACGCTCGATGAACAGCGCATGGCCTGGCTTGACGAAAGCGCACGAGTATTTCAAGGTCCCAGTAATCTCGAATTTCAACACAAAATCCAAGACATCATCACCAACACTATCTATCATTCTCATCGTAATCAAAACCCGTCATGGCTACCACTGCCTCTATTGCTCCTCTGACCTCACACACATTTGGCAAAGATGCTATAGCGTCAATCACTATTGATACAAAGTCTACTCTAGGTAACAGTTCTACACCTTATAAGTCTCAGTGGAAGTATACAGAAGCTATCTCTTTCACCAGAGAGAACTCTCTGGAATCTATCCATCGAAAGACACCGACAATCAGATCGACTGGTTTCCTCACCACCGAGTAGTCTTTTGCTTACGAAAAAGAGCTGAGCCACAAATTGGTACCATATAAACACAACACTGGCCCTCTTTTGCGAAAGATTGGCATCACTCAATTCAAATATCAGGCCCAGGCTGCTGTTGACTTCACTAATTTCAATCTTTAGAGAAAGATCAGTACTTCCAGGATGCTGCTAACTGGAGGGACATGCACGAAATCTTAGCCAAGAAACAGGAGTCAACGCATGGGGTAAAGTCATCAATACCATCAGAGAGCTCCTTCCTGATCATGATGTAGGTCCTTGCGTCTGAAGGACCAGGTAAAACGTATTTCTCTGGTATTTTTCGCGCGCTGAACGACTCTACTCATTGCGACTGGTCTCCTTACGATTCTCTCACCGAAGATTGGATCATCCACCAAATTACAAAACAGTGCCGGAAATGACTGCTGATGCATCTTTGATTTCCGAAAGCAGTCATTTGTATAGTACGCAAGGGGAAAAGGTGATAAGTCGAGTTCATCATTGGGATCTGATACGAGGCAGCTTTCTCAAGCCAGAATAGGAGCAAATTGTAGAATGCAGGCCCGAGTGTTCTTTCACTCACTCTATGATCTCCGATGCTCGGAAGATATGGCTGAAAAGCGTTTCTATTCTTCGTCAGAGTCTATCTACTGATTTTCAGGGTCGTGAATGGAAACTTGGGCTTGTGTAGAATGGGTCCACAGAGCTGATGATCTTCCTGACAACTCGACCTCAGATGCTTGTGGGAGGCGGAATGCGTTATCCGTCTGGCTTCATTCCAGTTGTGAGTTAACACGCAACTCAAGAAGTCGATTCATGCGAGGGAGTTGGAAGTGACAGCGACGAGGACTCATAAGGAATTGGCCGCAATTAGTGATTGCCCGAGATCGAATATAAAAAAGCCTGCTATTTCACACAACATCGTTTTGAATCGCATCACCTTCTTCGCCTCCAAACTTGAATCTCACATTAAGCGATACACATTTCATCATGTCTGGTCTTCCTACACTTGACGCTTCCAATTTTATCTTCACTTCTGATGAAGCTCGGATTAGCTTTGGACAAGCCCTGGCTCAGTCTTTTCACGATCATGGCTTCTTTAAGCTCATCAATTATGGGATCGATGAAGATATAGTTACATCATTGGTAGACGCAGTAAGTTCCCTGGATCTCACTTAAATTCGGAAAAGGTGTTAATTTGTATAAACATTAGTCCAAGGGATTCTTCGCACTAAGTCAACTACCCCACATATGGACCACCCTAAAAACCCACACCGCCTAAGCAACCTACTCTTTTCAAAAATTCATAATTAAACAATCATTCAATCAATCGATTTCAAATTTTGATATACTATTATTTATATAATGTCAAAACTCTATATTGAAAACGATATTGCCACAGCTTTAAATACTATCGTGAATAGTGTTTCGATACAAAAAGCTGCTTTGGATTATAGGATTCCTTGTATTATATTTTATAATTGTATCAATAGCTATGTTTTTTATCAAAAAAGTCATCACAGTATACAAAAGATTGCTTTGATTTAGAAGAAATGTTTAATGGAATAGATATTAGTATAGGAGAACTTGGGTATTAATCCTACCTATCAGCAAATTCGAGAAATTGGGGAATATCTCCTCAGTATAAAGGAATTCGTGTCACAGGCTCACTACCCGTTCCTACACCTATCACATATCCACTACCCATTCTTAATTAGTTCGGGTAAATGCCTTAGATATTCATCTATTATATAATTGTTGTCGTTCTGCATACCTCCTTCTCTCTTTATCGAATATTATACATCATACCTAGTACCCACCAGAACTCATACCAGTTCTATAATAATATATTCAACCCTTCAAAAGGTTTCACTGCTAATCAGCCCAACCTTGATTCTTTTATCTTACAAAAAACTTATGGGTTTATTGTTTATTATACGATACAATTGATTATTTGACAAAAAATGAACTTGAACAACTTCATTTTACAAAAACATTGATATTATAAATACCTTGACATTACAAATACCTTGATATTACAAAGCTTAAGAATTTTGAACTTTGTTTCCATTTTATAATAGATAATACTAAAAATCTATAGATTACTCTAATAAATACTACTGATATAAACATATCTACCATTGTAGATACTAAAATATTTAATAAATTTAAAACTTATATCTATACTACTTTCCATGAAAATCCTTTCATTATTGATATACTTTTGAATTGATTTAACACACTAAACCCAAATCTATTAATTAAGTTATTTGTTAATAAAACTAATGAATTATCTATTAAATTCTATATCAGATATTTGTTTTCAATATTCGAGAATACTATTGCACAACAATATAAGGCTGAAACAAATCTCGAAATGGAACAAACAAATATTCAAAAAAAAATATTGCTTATATAGCCGTTGAAGAAAACCTTATT